CCAGTGGATTTGCCCATGTGATATTTGTGAGTATATGTTACTGATGTAATATATACTGGAATACTTTTCATTCGCTGCTCCATTCAGAAATCGATTGTGATATCATAATGGCAACAATGACGTTACGTCATGCACTGAAAATGGCAGTACAAAATAGGTACATCCGTTTAATTTTGTCTCTCACATTTTGTCATAAGAAACTTTCAGTTTTAACTATTCTGAGTTACGTGATAAAATGTGTCTCTAATTTGTTTTTATTTAATGAGATTTAAATGAAACAGCAGCAGTCTAAAATTTTTGAGCGTCATGACGAAACAAAAATTAATAGTATTTTCACCGATGTATTTCAGTGTGGTAAACAAACTATTTGGGAACAATTTTGATGTAACCTAAATTTTAAGGAATATTCCTTCCTTAGATAACGTATTTATTGTTTTCCTAACTACATATAGCTCATGCTAGTTTTTCTTTCAATTTCGACAGGTTTATCTCGAAAGATACTAGTCTTTTAATCTCGTTCAACTAAACTCTTGTTGTCTGGAAACGTGATGAAGCGTCTGGGTGAACGAGACTATTTGTTACAATGTCCGCCATATGCATGATGCTGTCTGCTATCGGCGCAAAGCATTTCTTGGACTTTCACTTCCGTGTCACAACTGTATGACTGATAACATGGAATTAGAAACATGTACACTCCATATGATCCAGTCATTACTAGGGCAGAGCGACGATTGCAATGCCACAAGGACAATGTCGGTTGAAACTATTAAAAAAATACAACACCAATAGATTTTGGTGAACTGGTTAATGCTTCAAGAAATGAAGAAAATTTGGCGCGCTACAACGAGTGATCGATCGCACAATTATTAAGGGTGCTCGTGTATGTGTTGTGATGTTATGATATTAGTTGGCGGGTACTTGACTGGATGAAAAAATCTAAATTCATGCCAGTTTATTTTGTACAAAATCATATTTGTGTTTAGTAATGATAAAAAGTAAGTCAAACAAATTTTGGAAGCGAAAAGGATGTCGTTATATATATATTTTTAAACTAGCTATCAGTAAAGAGTAGAGAACAGATGCCTCATGCCTTTCATTTCCAGATGCTCCATATCTTCCGATTCCGGAAGATTTTTTCTCAAATGGGTCAATTCCTGGGACCTCTCGTGCTGGCCGTTAACAAATATATAGTCTTACACTAGCTACTGGTATAGAGTTTGGCTCTTATAAGATCTCACATGAAATGGAAACATATTTGAGATCATACATATCACCGGCATAAAAAACACCAATTTGTTTAGAGGATGTAAAATATAAACAAGTACTGTATTGCTATGCATTTTTTATATATAGTTATATTGATCAAGCTGAGTAAACAAATTTATGTCACCTGATAAAATATTTGGAAGGCAAATACATACACGAGTTTCCAGGAGACCAAATAACTGGGCAGTTCTCCCTGGGACCGTATGCACTAAAAGATGGTATTTGTAAATTACCCTCTCAAAGACAGCCGATTGCCATTTCTCTGTAACTAATACAGGCATCGCGTTGTTAACAATCGCCCTGCTTTAAAGTTCAGGTTAGGTCATTTCTTTGAAATAAAGCAGTTTTAGTACGAGGAAGCTTATAATTGATAAATTAGATGTCAGATGATTGACCCTCGATCGTTCCAATCAAAAGTTTCATTACAAACAACACCAAAGATATTGTGAGACTTGTCGAAATGTTCAATGTGCGTGTTTTGCTGCGGTCTGTACACCTATCAAATGTTTTTAAAACCCTTGTGTATTTATCAGAGGACTACAGTTTTTACCTGAGAGATCTCCAAAGCCACCAGATAAAAAAAAACCCTGACCTCGTATGTAATGTTGGTTTGATCATGGTGATTATTAGAAGAAAATGCATTTATATGACTATAAATGCATTTAGATTTCTGTTATTTTGATGCTTCGCAATGTTTAACGTCATTGTCATTTGAAGACAGATATAAAAAAGAACAGGACGAGTGGAAAATAAGCTCCAGAAAGCGAGCAGACATGAAAAGGTAAAAATCGAAATCAGGTAGGAAATGTGATGTAATACCACAAATATTGTTAGATAGAGATAACATCTAGCAGTTAATACACGTAGTTAACTTTCGTGTGCATACACGTACACATTAAATGTATTGTAGCTTTCATTCAAAAATTCGAAATTTACATATTGTACTTTAAATACAGTTCTATTTTTATAACGATGTTAATGCATGTCAGTTATCTCCATATTGCATGAGTTAATGTTCTGTCGCTCCTGTATGAAGTCATTTTATGTTACAACTGGAAACATTGTCGGTATGGTGCTTGACAGGTCGTTTAATTATTGTTGCTTCAAATAACCGTGATGTCTGAGACGCCAATTTACACCTTTGTTTGTAGATATACATAGGTGTAATTACGCGGAGTGACTATGTATAATCAACAGGAAATAGGACAATTATTCCAGGATAATTTTGGCACGTAATCGACGGAAACGGTTAAAGAAAGATATATTTAAAACCACCTATATATCATTAATCTTAATTATTAAACTCCTACAAAATGCATTAGCTTTTTTCAGATTAACCCAAATGCTGTTACGGAAATACTACAAGAAGTACAAACACGCCAGCGTTTTTGTATATATATGATGACAGTTACGTAACTAATGCATGGCCTCCTTTAAATATCAGTTGATGACATGAAGTTTACATGAAATAGAAATATACTCATATCTAACACGTGGTTATATATACATGTGTGCACACGTACCTTAATATATATGTAGCACGTGCAATATACTAAAATCATGCAAAGGTACCGATCACAATGTCTATGTCAATATTTGTATAACAAATGTTACATCATATTATGCTCCATAAGTTCATTCAAATGTAGTGTATATGGCCTTAATACATATCTAGACCGAAAATGAAGGAAACATTTAGGAATGATTTCTGGTACTTTAAAAACATTTTTCATTGCCACTGAAGAGAAATCTCATATCAAACAAAAACGAAAGAATGTGTCACTCAGAAAAGATACCTTAAATTCTTTCTGTACTCATTCTTTGCAAACATTATACCATTTTTACCTGATATGGTCTCCACTCATGATGCGCAGACTGGATTATTCACTTCTGTTTGTCAATCCTAATTCAATAACACAAGTATCACTATGTGAGGAGTAAAGCACTTTTAAGTCGAACTACACCATAGACGCTTGATTTACAGTGTGTATATAGCAGGACTCATTTAGATAAAACGCAGCACCATGTGTGTACTGTATATCGTCTCTGTTGTAATACCTGTAAGGTATATACCGACATTAAATCGGGGAAGGGGGTGGGAGGTCGTGTGATTACCAGCCAGGTAAATTTCACACACTAATTTTTAAAAATTTCATAGAATTTTATGACAATTGAATTAAACATATAGCCAAAATTATTACAACAGGCAACAAATACACTAACTAATATATAACATATTTTAGACAGAGAGAGAGAGAGAGAGAGAGAGAGAGAGAGAGAGAGAGAGAGAGAGAGAGAGAGAGAGAGAGAGAGAGAGAGAGAGAGAGAGAAGGGGGGGGGGGGGGCAGTTTTATTTTATGACAGGAGAAAGTTCAGTCAAGTTAAGACAGTGCAATTTTGATTAATATTAAATTCCGAGTTCCCTGTAAAATTGAAAAAAAAACCCACTAATCTATAAAGGTAAAAGTGCCTTTAACGTTGTTTTATCTTACAAGAAGTGATAATTTTTGTTTTAAGATTTCTCTGTTTATTATATGATGGTTATCATCGAGGGAAAATGAAAATATTGACTCTTCATTAATTGTAATAACTCAATAACGACGGCATTATGTAGTTCTAAAGTCGTTAACGTATCAAAATGAGTTAATAACACATAAAATATTGATTGAATAACACAGTCAATATAATACAGTTGTGAGGTAAATGTAGCAACACAATCAGAAATGTGTAAAACAACCAGACTATCAAGTTATTGTATAATGAAATTAAAAGTCGATTAAAGGAGCCGCCATTTACTTGTTAATTAGCGGGAGTTATCTTAACTACTTTCGACCGGAAGTTCACCGCCGCCCATGGACGACTTTAACCTATTAACCCCTAACTTACATATGTGGGGCTCGGAACGCTAAATCTAAATTCAGACGTAAGCATAGAGAGTACGCTGAAACAAACAGAAAAGTAAAGAGAGGTATAACAAATTAATTTTGGCCATGCAGTCTTTCAATTTACATTTGAGCCACACCTGTTATGTAAACTCTGGCTGATGTACTAGAATTTCACCTGAGAACATACCACAGTTAATCACTTTCTGAATACATATTAAGCTGTGTTAGGTGTAAACCAAAACGTTTGAATTTAAATGAAGCTCTTATCATTCTTCAAATATTTAAAATCTTGTTCTGTATTTGTTATATATATATTGTTCAATGTCAGTTTGATTTCAGCTACCGTTGTAGCTTAAACCAGCGAACACATTATCTATTTTTGTAACATACAGACGTATATATTGATATTCCGGGAGCTGGGACTGAAACCACAGGGACTTGCTAACTCGTTAGAGCAAAGATCTATCACGACATGTTAATACTATCTTACAGATTATTAACAGGAGTAGATCAACATTTTTGAAAAGAAGAAATAAAAGAAATTACACCACACACATTTGAGATGCCTGCATATCCGTGAAAACGTCTACTGATACTACAGACCAGGACAGGTCTTTCTTAGAGTTAAAGCTTTGTATCTGTATGTACACGACAGTATTGCTACATACAAAAACGTGTATCAAGTTAACTTAGACAAATTGCTCTATATCCTTACGAAATGCCGAAACTTATCACGTGCTTTTGAAATACACTAGAAAATCAAGAGAAAACTCTTAAAAAATAAGATTTCAAAATACTTCTATGTCAATATAAAATAATCAAGATGAGGATAAACATTCTGCCACCTACCTTTCTCTGCCTGCCAATAAGTCGTGAACTGAGTGAATGTGATTTAAATTTGCTGATACGAATCAAGAAAATAGGCAAGTCACTGACCCGAAACGTTGATTCTCACTATTATAGCACTGTGCGCGTATCCGGTTGTCCCGGAAGTGAACGAGAAGTAAAGTCCGCCACATTGGGTATGAAATTGAGTACACATTTAAGTGCTGATTAAGTACATCCACATATGTATCTGTACCCTAATTTCACGCTCTAGTGAATAACTTTACAGCGAGTAAAGAGCGAATTGATAGTTCTGCTTAAGAGAACTGTGTTTATTTTACGTTCATATCACACGTATATGAAAAGAAAATGTATGCTTTTCTAAAACTTTTACGGATGTCTTCTTCTAAAATATGAGTTTGCGATGAATTCATCCCTTTAATGAAGGTAATGAAGGCGTTCGACTAGAACTGCGTTTGCAATATGGTTATATATTCTACTTTTTTATTAAAAAAAAAAATTCATTTCATCCTACTGCTGATGAAACAGCAACTACAGTACACGTTGGTACACCATTGTAGTTTTGATGTTGTTACGATATGTACAGTATCTTAAAAAATCTAAGTTTGATTTCCTTTCTTGTTTCGTTTGTTTGTTTTTTGTTTTGTTTTTTATTTTCTTATCATTTGTTTTTTGTTCTTGTCCTTAAACGATATCCAGTCAATCCACCATATAACGTCTTAAGAAATTAACAACACGTTATATCACATGGCACGTGTCGGTAATCATCAACTTTAACCTGAAAACGAAACTTGATTAACAACAGTTTTATCTTCTAAATTTGTATGAGTCAACAAAGCAAAATATGAATATGTAACAAGCACAGTCAAACTCAGTCATTAAGTAATTGAGATAAACTAATGATTAAAATGAAAACATGTTTAGTTCATTAGATTTCAGTGTAATATTCCTATATATAGTCATCAATATATAATCAAAATCAATCTTCGATAAAGATGTTTGTATATAAATCACCATAGTTTGAAATATGTTTCCATAATCATCTATTTAACAAAAAAAAAAAAAAACGTGTGTATCTACGGAGCTTACAATAGCTAAATTTTCTATTTGAAAAATTAATTTATGTTTGATAAAAACACACACAAGTTTTTTAATCAACAGCCAAGGCACGATCTAACATCCAGGAGAGATTTAAACTCAAGCGAGGCAAATCGAATAAAACCACAACAAGAGTTCGCTTGGTGCAGTCTTCCTCTCTGTGCTGTACCGACTGAAGTAGTTTAGACTCATGTTACAGAAAAGTACTCGACTTCCGTACACAGCTCAGAGCCTTACAAGAGGAGTTAATGTCGATATCAAACTGAAAATTCGCCAAACCACATGTCAAAATCAATTATTACAAGATGCTGACGCAGTATTATATATTTTATCCATAATGTGTACATGCTAAATGTATACGTTTTCATAATGAAATTTAAGTTTAAACATCGAATCAACTACTAAATATTTCTAAGTACATGCTATTAAGTACTTACGGACGAAAGATTTCATTAAATTTTTCTCAAAATCAAATATAAGGTTTTACGGTAAAAATGTCAATGATTATTACTAATTTTTCACCAGGTAGATCACAGCATTTGCATTCGAAATATCGAATTTCATGGTCGGTCGTACATATAAGTGCAACAACATTTATAACGATAGGAAGACTCACAAAGATGGAAACCTAGTTAAGCAATGCATCCAACCTAATTAATGCCGAAGGTTTGGGAAATCGAGACGAGGGGACGGGGGACTTAGGACAAGATGCAAAATCTGCCTGAGACACTTCACCGGAAAGATTCTATTCAAGAGGGTTTCAAGAGCATTCAGCGGTTATCAAAGTACCAAACTCCTGTAATTTTAATGAAACAGGAGGGTAATTTGTGTGATTATAGATATCTAGCAAACACGGTGTCATTTTGGTTTTTTCCCACATCTTTTTCTTTTGCTATGTAATTAAGCTACACGTTTTACGGGGTGCAGTCTTTAACATGACATCACGCACATTAATTACTAATATGAGAGTTCTAATAAGCGATGCTTATCGTCTAAGACTGCTGTTCCGCTGACGTTATTGTAATTTCCAATCCCAGTATGTATTTTTCACAGAGTCTTCCCACGGCTTACAACATGTAATCCCCGATATAACTAGGATATACGAAATATGATATTATCCTTTTAATTATCATCACGAGTTTGTTTAAGTGACTCGGAGCAAAATGATTCAAGGTACTATTTAGAAACACTTCCGTTCCTTCCAAAGTTACCGATTAGAATTTATAATGAACATTTCACCTCTGATTGTTACAAAGTATAGATCATTTTATGTAAACTGTCATATGATGTCTATTGATTTAAACATATTATATGTGCATTAAACATATACAATGGGATGTCTATGATGTATATGTTGAATAGATACGGCTCTTCAGAATATAAACGGTGACCAGTTACACATAGTAAACCACGTTTATTTTGTGCTGTAGGTCTTTCCATCCAAACCTTCTACCCCATCTTTTATCCCAAAACTTGTTCCAGAGAGGTTGAAACTACGCCAAGAATTATGAAAAGGTACTGAAGTTCGTAGCACTTTTCATTATAAAGCAAACAAACCAAGATAACATAGGCATATTAATGGATGCATGATCTAATTAAAACGAGGGCATATTAGGATCAAAAGAAAAAAAATAACACGGCGACTCCTGGCAATGGAGAATAGACCTTGTATTCCGAAAGTGGAAGCGTCTTCTGCTTAGTTTGGTTTTTGTTATATGTTGTTTAACGTCATATCAACAGCTCTGGGCATTTAGAGGCCGCCCTTACTGTGTGTATATGGGTGTTCGCGATGCGAGTGATGAAATGGTGTGTTTCTGGGAGGAAGCAACGACACTTGCCGAGTAATTTTTTATCTTCCCAACTGAGAACAAACATCGACCAACGACAGACAATTTAAAATTCAATTAAGTATAGCCAATCACTGACTTGACTGCAACATTCTACTCATATCAGCTGTCGAACCTCTGAACAGCCTCTGAACTCACTGGATGATCATCACATTGGAAAGGAATAGTATGTAATTTCTGTATTAAATACTCAAATAATGTGTTAAAGTTATGGGACGTTTATCAGTGAGGCCAGAATAAGGGATGTATTCCTGATAGGGGGCTATCGGGAGGCTGGAATGTCCACATATTTCCGTGCAGTTTTACACCAACAAATGGATCATGTAAATGGGTTCAATTTAGTCAGAAAGTTCTCAATCCATTAGTTTACTAAGATTTGTTTAATTCAGTGCACACACTAATAATTATAGATTGAAATTAAATCGGAATATATCAGATATTTAAATGAATATCTAAACATTTCAAGTATATCTATATAAGTTATTAGAACACTCACGTCATTTCCGGTTCAATCTGTTGTCCTTTCCGGTCCTCATGCCCCTCCTCCTCATCTTCAGCTTTACTCCGTAGCCGTGTGTATCTGTGTGTCATTTGCATAGTATTAGAATTCTTCCATAGCGGTATCCCCTACAAAATATATTTTGTTCAACTCACATTAACCTGATAGTACATATTATCCTAAAGAATTTGAACTTGTGTATAACATGAATTTCGTTCTACATTGTAAGTATGGTATACAGACGATTTAAAAATTTCAGAAAATTAAAGCAAACAGACATGCCCTTTGTCGATTTGAAGCAGTCTTGATGTTGTTTGTGGTCAATTGTTCCGTTGAGTTTTTTTCAAAGTATAATTTTGAAATAAAAATTGAATTAAGTTTATAGTAAACTTTTTTTCATTCCTTTACACGTCCAGAAACGTACATGCATTTTCGGATATTAACGGTAAAAAACAATTTATTTTGACAAAAAAGAATGGTAAAACAGAAACTAAGGGGAAAACTTCAAACTGCCATAAATGATTAACTGTTGTAAAACTACCATACTTACGTTAGAATTAAAAACAAATTTCTAAGTGTAGATCCAAAAAAACGAGGAAAGTTTAATAGGTTTTAATGTAATGAAAAATAAACAACATGTTTTACTACAATAGTAGAGGTTATTTTAATGATAGCTTATATACAGCTTATTACACCACGTAGGGAACAATTCAAAGTTCATCCTGACATAAAGACGTTTACTTTAGTGATGAAAATTGTAAGAGTTATCTTTCTTTATATAAACATATTCATGGTAGGCCTTAACTTAGTGTCGTACCACGTTGTAACACATGAATCGATATCTCGATACAATCCGCAAATGTTACAATATTACTAAGCACAACTCCCCTACAGCAGCACATCTGGTGTATATAGACATATTTACCTGTAGACAAGGGACATTTACTAGCCCTCATATCCAACAACACGTGGCTTGTACGTACGTATATGGACAATCGATATGCTAATTCATTAAAAAGTTCGTGTCATAAAATCAAATTGACGACGCTCCATAAATACAGTATAAACACGACATCCTTCCATCTAAACACACAGGGACGACCACACATACACTTCATGTGTACATATTTTCTGTTTACAGTGATAGTGTAAGTGTGCTTTTAGCACTTCCGTTTTACGTTAGAGTAACTTTGTCACCAGGTCAATCAACCCGTACAGGTAAGCAGAGCAGGTTCAACAGAATTGACTCCACTGCGTGACGTACTTCTAAAGCCTTATTATATACAACAGTATAACGCAAAACATGCTGTATATAACGCATAGACCACAAAAAATATCTGCGGTTTTGGGGAAGTAATTCCATCTGAAACGTGTATGTGTACATGAAGATTAGTAATTTTGTGTAATACTAGTATATGTTGATATATAAAAATGAAAATAAAAAAATCTATGTTGTCAGCATTGTCTTCCACTTATAGCTATTTCATATGGATGATTTATTTATTTATTCATTTAAAAAATAAAGCTGGACTTTCAATCATCTGGTATTGATTTGAAGTAATTTTGGCCAATTTAATGCATATCAGACCACACCCGGAAGTATGATATGAGTTTTCCGCCTGATATCGCGGACCTGATGAGTCACAGATAAAGTTAGATAGTCAAATCATAGATGTATATGTCTTATCCATATATAACGTGTATACCCAATGTACATATATAAACACAAAATGAAGTTAAGGCGGTGTCGTTCCCTCCTTGTATTGCCAGTGTAGCAGTGCATCAATAACACTAGAACCACCCGTCTAGAATCAACACATTGATTTACAAATTCAGTACTCTATTGGCATTCGGTCTATAGCGCAATGATGTTTTTTTTAACCAGTACATAGTACATAGTTTTTGGTTTAAAAGTGTTAATAAAAGAATAAATTTTCAATGAAAATTCGAAGTGGCCATACAAACATGTCTAAACACCACAAAGCAATTACCTCGCTAAATGTACACTTTGAACGATTCACATACAACAGATAGATTTTGACTCTCACATCTTTTGTAAAAAAACAGGATATATTAACTTTTCCCCCTCAAATTCCTCAATTTTGATAGAGATCTATCTACGATTTTCTAATTCTATGATAGCTTTGGTATGACCAAACCAAAATGTGTGTCTGTTTGTATCGAAAAATCTATATTTCATCCACATTTCAATTTTCATCATTCACAGAATGGACTTTTCATTTGAACTGACTTTTCCTAACGAATGGAGGGACTACCAGGAAAGTCATTGATTCCGTTAAAGTACGAGTTGTTTCCGATAGATGTCTTACTCACCGTTAAGTGCCGTGTTTGTATGGCCAATTCGATTCTGCTGTGTCCTTTCGTTATAACGTGATCTCCTGATCGACACTGAACAAAACATTAATAAAATACATATAAATCATCAATAGATGATGTAATGAGGAAATAAAATCGGCTCTTCCCTGAAATCAATGATGAACTGCTCTTTTTTCTATTAATTGACCTAAACTTCAAGTGCGTTATCATGTATTTTGTTCTGAGGAACCATCGACTAGGTCCCATATCCCATATGGATCATACATTGTTCGCTGGTAAGTAGTAGTAAATTGCCGATTCTGGGACATTTTCACATATCCAACCACAACATGGTTAGCAAAAATGACAAGAAAAAAAATGTTTTGTAGAAAATTCTTATTTATGTAAGCTAGAGACACACCGAGTTCTGATCTGCACTCTGGCATCCGTCCGAATTTATCAACAGGCATTTTTTATAATATAAAATATATTTTTATAAAGTAATTTCTAATAGAAGTGAAATAATAGCTCCAGTAATTTTCGTTGTAGTTATTTCAGATACAAAGTTGATCACATCACCTACATTTAATCTGATTCCTTCCACATCTGAAACGTGATTAAATTCTCCTTGTGCCTTTAAAATTTTACATCGAGTTTTACGGCCATTCACCACGAGGACTACACCAGCCTCTTCAGGAGAGGATTCTGGTGTTGTAACCGACATACCAATTTTCAAAACTTTAGTTGGTGCTAGCACGGTATAACCAGCTTTTTTTCCTGTTACACCATCACCAAACGAGTATTCGTATTTACCTCTCACAAGACCACCCTTTTCTTCAGCCCAAATAGTTATATATTTTTTATCCAATTCTCGCAGTAATTTTTGTGTATTATCTAATAGCTGAGAATACTTGGCTCTTAAGTCTTGCATGACGTTCCCTAATTCAGGCACATCAGATTTTCGTAGAAAATTCTTATTGATGTACGTCAGAGACACACCGGGTTCCGATCTGTACTCTGGCATCCGTCCGAATTTATCAACAGGCATTTTTTATAATATAAAATATATTTTTATAAAGTACCTCATCACGCAGGTCAAACAAGCGCATAATAGCTTCTTTTGGTAATTTCTCTTCAAAAGCTTTCTTGAGGATGCGGTATTCAGGTTGGAATAGACTCTTGCCGAATACTGCTAGCTTGTTATAGTCAAGCCAACCCGGTCTTAGTAAAAGATTGAGCAAAAGAGTGGTTTTACCACACCCCGATTTGCCTATAATCAATCCCCTTATGCTTTTTGGCAGAAGCAGGTGATTGAACCGTTTTGACACCATTTCGTTCCACGACAGATCTTTGACTTCCATTTTTTTAAATATAAATAAAAAAAATCTTATATAAAAATATGTATTGCGTGAAATGCAAAAGAGTTACTGAAACAAGTGACGTACAAAACACCGTTTCTAAAAATGGGCGAAATATGAAACGGGGTAAATGTGTCGTGTGTGGGACTACAAAGACACAATTTGTACGAGGTACCAGAGGCGGTTCGATGTTAAATAAAGCCATCAATAATTTACCGTTTGAAATGCATCTCCCAGGACATAATTTTACAGGACCGGGGACCAAGCTTGGTAAAAGGCTGAAACCAGACCTAACACCAAAGGAATGGAGTAAACCTGTAAACAGAGTTGATAATGCTGCATACCATCATGATGTGTGTTACTTAAAAAACAAGGACACTAAAACAAGAAATGGGGTATGCGACAAGAATATGTTAAATGAATTGAATGGTATTGTGAACCCCACTCTTAGAGAGAGGCTGGATAGATCTATTGTAGACAAGATCATTGGCACTAAGATGAGGTTTGGGATGGGGGTGGGAGGAAAAAAAAGCAACAAGTTGAGCTCAAAGCATTAGCCGATGAATTACACAGACCTGTGAGAAAAAAGTTTGAGAGGAGGAGGGTACGTGTTAATGGTATTGGTGAAATTTGGGCCGCATATTTAATAGACATGCAGGCATTCTCAAAACTTAATCGTGGCACTAAGTATCTCTTTGCTGTTATTGACATTTTCTCCAAATATGGTTGGTTAGTACAATTAAAAGATAAAACGGGGAAATCGATCGCAGTTGCACTGATAAAGATACTCAAGGCGAGGAAACCGAAAAAGATGTTGGTGGATAAGGGCAAAGAGTTTTACAATAAAGAAGTGCAGAGTTTGGTCGAGTTATACTCCATCGAAAATGAGGAAAAATCGAGCGTGGTGGAGAGATGGATCAGAACGATGAAGGAAAAAATGTGGAAATATTTTTCCACAAATTCCACAAGTGTATATATCCACGTACTCGACGAACTTGTTGATCAGTACAATAATACAACACTTTCATCAACAAAACATACACCCATCGAAGCTAGCAAGAAGAAAAATGAAACCCGAGTGTGGATGAATCTATACCCCAACCATGATGAGCCTAGGAGAATTCACCCAAAGTTTTCTATTGGAGACACCGTGCGGATAAGCAAGAAAAAGAAACCCTTTGAGAAGGGCTATAAACCGAGATGGACGGAAGAAGTATTCACGATAACGGCGGTACAACGTACGTCGCCCGTCACATACAAGATCAGTGATGACCATGGAGAAGAAATCCGGGGCACCTTCTACGAACACGAGTTGCAGAAGACGAGCCAAGAGATGTACAGGATAGAAAAGGTCATCAAGATGGGGAAAACAAAGTCGTTGGTCAAGTGGAAAGGGTATCCAGAGTCGTTCAATTCGTGGGTCAGCAATAAGGAGCTAGTTACATTATAACATTATTTTCTTAAAGTCATTTTCAAATAATGTTATGTTCTTGAAATTTTTATATATATTTTTTTTTCTTAAACTCATTTTTTTCTTGAAATTTTTTTTTCATTTTTACTTGAATTTTTTTTCTTGAATTTTTCTTGAATTTTTTTTTTTCATTTTTTCTTGAAATTTTATATATATATTTTTTTCTTTAACTCATTTTTTCTCTTGTCATTTTTTCTAACCATGTTGTGGTTGGATATGTGAAAATGTCCCAGAATCGGCAATTTACTACTACTCTGGTATGTGGTATTTTAGATGGTTGATGCCATGACGCAATCGTTAATTTTGTTTTAAAGACTGACGAAAAAAAAAAGAAAAGAAAAAAAAGAAAAATAAAAAACATCGATTGAAGTTATGTTGCATCCGATCGCATCCCCTCCCCTCTTCCCATACTGCCTCATGATATTTGACAATATTGCATTCATTTCTCTTTTCAATCAACATGAACTGTTATCAGAGAACACCAATTGCTATCTTAACATCTCATGCGGTTGTATCACACAAAAGCTCCGATGTGATTTCTTCCTCTACTATTCACCTATTGCTTTCTATCGTAAAGGAACTCGAGAAATGCAGTCTAAAATTAGAATAGGTCTCGTGAATGATACATCTTTCTATTAATAAAGCTTAATGAAACAAAGAACATCGCCAACCCTTTAGGAATCTGGTTGTAACTTACAGTGCATCAGTCTGTAAACCAGACCCAAACGGAGTACAGTTTGTTGCTCTTTACTCTTCAATAATCAATAATCTGTTTTTTGTGAATGGTCGACTCAGAGACCGGCATTTGGTTTCTACGCATTTCAAAAATCATTCTCTGCCACTTTGACAATAGGCTTGAAAGTTGTAATGTGCATTTTAAAAAATAAACAAGAGGTTGTACAAGTTTTAGTTTCGCTTTTGCTCTAGAATCTATCCTTTCCTAACCTGATAAAACCGGATACTGCTTTGAAAAGTATTGATCAATAGAAATTTCGTGCAGATTTCTGTTTCTAAGACCTAGTAGAAACATGGTCAGAACATCTTATTGCTTTAGATACCTTTCTACTTTGTTAATGCTTTCATGAGTTGAAAATGATGACACATCATCTGGTAAATTGCGTACTATAATTCCAAATATGTTGTGTTCTTGTTTTGTATTTAACAGTATAAGTAATGGGACACCAGAATACATTTAACCAAAAACATTATTGTAAAACAGCTGAACTTATCAAACAAAATGCACACAAGTCTAGGACATCAAGGGACAAATAATTCTAAATATCGTGTAGGATATAAGCGAGATTTGTGTGAATGAACATGCTTCAGATTGTTAGTTACCTATTGATAATACATAATGGAACATTCTCTAAATCGAAGAATTAAACGTGAGACACGGAAAGTTTTATAAAGAGAAAAGAGAGGAAAATTTGAAGGAAAAATTGCCTGCATTCAAAGAAAACACGAAGATAAAACAATTGTGCTCTGTTTCAGAGGTGGCGGTTTGCAAATTTCAACGTAAGCTTATTATGAGAAATTAATTTTTCAGATACTTTTTCTTGACAGTGCTTCTACATAAGAAAGGATTAGCCACAAGTTCCCTTCGGACTAGAAACAAGTTCTTAATTACATGGCTCTCTTAAAGAAATATCCTTGTAAGGCGAATGCCTAACGCTTCAGTGTACTTATCTTTCGTAGTAGATAACAAATGAAAAGGATACATTTTGTTTATTAATGAGATTCTTGCCAAAACATTAAAATTACCATGAACCGAACAAACAACCAGCATGGTTGAAATACGGGCATTATTTCATGCTTGTTTAGTGTTGTTCAAGCTTTACATTTATTGTGTCTACATGGACTTTTATCAATTTTTGAAGCGCGATGCCTTTCCCATTTTCCTATAGGCAACAGTCATCTCGCAGATTCAGATGCAAAGCTGTGAATAGATATAAACAAGTTTGATGCATCCGGTGCCCTATAACATATTGATCCCTTACCATCATAGATATTTTTTCTCTTCGAATGTTGACCATAGTAGGACCAGTCTTCTGCCAGTTTGTGTTAATGCGGTGTATCTAAACGTATTACACTTACGTAATATCCCTCCGGGACTAGATATCACTATCTGTAGATGTCGCCAGTCTCGGATGAAGTAAGCGGTGCCACTTAAAATGATTTCCCCCGAACACCAAGCCAGTTCCACAGCAATAGTTGCGTGAGACCTGAGCCGAGGCAATGGTTTAAAACACTGTTAAATCAAGTGCTCCACAAAGTAAAACTGATAATTAATACATATATTTTTTACGACTTTTTTCAAATATAAAATTCATTTTTACATTGACCCGAAGCCAGTTGTAGCCTGAGGTATAATACATGTTGTAACTACATTTGACACACTAACAAACCATAGGAGAACTATTGCTAAGTTTAGCACACTTTTAATAAACATCTTTAAAGATTTAAAAAAAAATCAATGATTTGTTTTTATCCATAACAAATGTGTCTGCTGTACATGTTTGCTTGGTCCTTTTTAGTTTCTGACTTACTAAGAGAACCGACACCGCTTGTAGTTGCCGCCCCTGCGATGAACCGAAGAACAACTACAAACGATATGAAGCTATTTGCCCACGCACATGCACGAGAGGATAAAAAAAGTAATACTGCGCCAACGTACATCACAATCTTCCGACCTCATCTAAAATATAATTGTATAACCCATCAACTTCGTTTTATGTGGGATGTTTACATCTAAGTTCTTTGTAAGCATTGATGTTATACTACAATATCCATGTTATGACATTTTAATCTGGTAATACAACACACTCATCAGCGGGTCAGCCAATCGTAGACACGATCTTCAAATTATCATTGCTGTCCTTACGAACTCCCAATCAAATATAACGAAAATATTTGATACGTGAAGACAATGTCGCTTGAACTGAATATCGACTAAAACATGGAGAGGTTATTGAAAAAAAAGAGAAAAGAAAAAAAATCTATTGTAAATGATATCGTGGAATAGCAGAGATGAAGCGATAACATCAAATAACAATAGACGTGTTTGCCAGAGAGTGTCTGCCATTGCATGATCTTCATTATTCCTTCTGTTTATATTTTCACTTCTTTCGGATTGGTCGTAAAATCCTTCGCACAGCGGAAGTTTGCGGGGAACTTGAAAACTTTATCCAGTCGTCC